CATGCATGGTCTGAAGGCTGGGAGAGTGGGGACCATATAATTGGGGCACCTTAGGGGTCTGGCCTTGGTGAGGAAATTTAGAACTACCCTGAATATGCACTCTTCTGCAGGATACCCCTACCTCGTGATTAAAAACGTCGTCCTATTGTTCGCAAATAAGTGAATTGTGTGCACATTTGTTTGATTGCATTTGTTTGTTGCATAGCATAAACATAAAACAAATTAAAGAAAAAACCCTCATAATCTTCAAAAAATCTTTTCACAATAAACACCCTTATCTCGGACGATCCGCCTTTTAGCTAGCCTCGATTTCAGGTTCTTTATAAGCTAAGTAGCCACGCAGTTCGACAGAAGAGATAAAAGGTTATAAAAAACAAAGAAACCAAATAAATCAAACGAATAAAAAAAAATTAAATTTAATAAAAAAATTTTTGACAAAGTCGTATCATTCATATTGCATCATTTCATAAGCGGAAGAACCAAGAGAGAAAATAAATGCATAAGGAAAGTATGCATACACATTATCTTAATAAATCTCTCAAAATATGGGTCTTAGGAGCATTTTTTGGGAAAATTGTTGGGCCAAATCCCCTATAAATATTTGTCACCTGTTCTTTACTCTTTCTTCTTCGTTTTGATATATTGTGCGTCCAAATCCGACATCTTAGTCAAAAGTTATCTTACTTTGAACATTTGTCGTCCCTTTTATCATAAAAGCTCCTTTTGTACCAGTGCATGCATAAACACATTCATCTTAGGGGCATTAGATATCCTTAAGACAAAGGTGAAACAGGCCCAAGTGCGCTTGTAATCTTCCATAAGGAAGAGACAAGTGTGTTAAGCTATATGGTGACCTTTATGAGGAAGAAATCATTATACCAAAATGGGCATGGTGCTACATGAAGCGTGAGCTTTAAGAGGATACCAAAGTCATTGTCTTAAGACATATCTATCCCACACTAATCATTCATTTCATTTCAAAATAAAAATAAACGTTCTTAAATTCTTTTTGCATTCTAGAAAGCGGTTGGTATTCTTCATGCCTTCATCTGCATACAAAAATCCCAAACACTATCATACATCATGTTAGGAAATAAAACATGATAATGTTTAGAAAAAAAAAACAAATACTTGCATACATGCATCCACCAAACTTCACCCTCATAACATGCATCTAGTAGTAGGCAGTTGAAGAAAGTGGATATTCCTCAATACTATGTAAAGAGGATAGAGCATTTGCACAGGAAGTCAAAAAGAGAAAATACATAGAAATTCTAACCCGCCTATGGGTTCCTTTAGGCTTCTCCGCTTTTAAAAAAAATGTACTTTAAAACATTGCATTGAGGAATGTACACTATTTGGATGAAATAAATTTATTTGTTTTCATCATCTCTTCAACCGTCTATTACATTCATAAATTGCATTTATTAATTCTCACTTTAATAATAATAAGATAATAAAAAGAAAGGGTTAATTGATGTGCTTCCCATGAATCGGAATAAGATGATGTGCAAACCCTTCGTCATCAAGTTCTCTCCAACGGTTGATTCGCCTAAGGAGGATAACAAGCCTCAACCATTAGATATCCAAGTCAATAAGGAAAAGGGAGCAAGGATGTCGTTACATTTGTTCATGCCTCGAATTGAATAAAGTTGTACCATGGAGATACGCAGAAATATCACCCATCAATGAGGATATCTCCATCATAGCCAACATTGGGGGCAATATTAGAAGTGGAAGAATTTATTCCCCCAAGGAGCTATAAGATGACGCTCCTAAGAATAAAGGAAAAAATAAAAAGACCGAAGAAAAACATAATCCAAAGAGAAAATTGAGTAGACTTTACATTCACGACGCTAAGGCAGTTCTTTCAACGCTCCACCAAAAAGACAAACTCACGGTAGGCAATAAGTTGGCCATGGTTCGAGCTAAAGATGACATTCGGAATAGCAAACCATCTGCCCTACCTTGAATGGATGCGGCTGAAGAAGACCTTTGAAATATCTTTTGCCAATATGAAAAGACTTCCCCAACAATCACTACAAAAAAAAAGCTGATTATCTACGGATTATTATCTATGGATAAAAATCTGTACGTAAAATATATATTACATACGGATATTATCTACGGAATTTTATCCGTATGTAAATTATCTATTATCTACGGAATTTACCTACGGATGAAATGATTATGCATTACCTACGGATATAGGAGGTAGGTAATGTTCTTGTACTACTTTACCTACTCATTTACCTACGGATGTGTAATTTAAAAAAAAAATAAACCCCCTCACTCGGATCCTCATTTTCACACTTCCTCCGCGCCTCACCCAACCTTCCAAACTCCTTCCTTCCTCTCCCTCAATTTCACTAACCTACACTATAACCCGTAGCCCACCTCCTTCACCAGAACCTTGATTGTAGCCTCCCCACTCTTAAGCACCCCACACGGTACCCTCATTTGAACCCATATACCCAACCCTATTCTCTGCACCACCGGGCTTCTTCCCCATCACCACCACAGCCATACCCGTGCCCTAATTCCACCTTCACTCACCAAAGCTTCTCACCAACGCAGAACCACCCCGCGGTCGCACCCCATCTCAGCTTTTTGCCTGCAAATTCTCGCCCAATCACCCTCACCGGAACCACCACGTCTCATGACCATGAACCCCCCCTTTCGCGGCCTCCACCACCATCTTCACGATGCACTGCCACTCTGAGGTCATCGTCCCCTTCGTTGAGCCATTGGTCGCACCTCCTAGCATTTGTTGCTAGCCACCGCAAGGCCAAGTCGCAGTCGCGACCTCACCCTAATCCAGCCACCACCAAAGCTCGTTGTCATCCGCGACAACCACCACCATCGAGCGTCCCAACCTCCACTCCTCACCACCAATGTCTCCACTCTGCTCCACTTCCCTCACCCTGTGTTGAATCTCTCCCTTTGCCCCAAACCACCGCGCATCACTGCCTATAGCAGGCCACCACGAAACCCAGGCGCAGATTAACTTCCAGGTCACCATGCCACCACACCCCCTGTCGCCCCCTATCACCAGCATCGTTGTAACCCAGAACGGGAATCACCTCGATGCCGGCTGCAGTCACCACCTGCTGCAGCCACCGCTTCTCCTCGGTCCAGTCCACCCCCATGGGGCCACCGAGTTTGTCGTGACCTAAAGGTGAGTCGGGAGGCCACGGGTCAAGCCTAGTGTTTCATATTATTCTACTTTGATATAATTTCTTGCATGCACTTTTCTCGATTCTCGGACTTGTTTTGTTTAATTTTGATGTGTTTTGGGTGGATTGAGTATTGATGGTTTCGTTTAGTTGATTTCTGTGTTGAGTGGGTTGGTCCATATTATTTTGAGGGTTTGAGTTGGGTTTTGTCTGATGTGTGTTGTTGTCTGCACTTTGGTGAAAACATACAAATTTCTTTTCTTTTCTTTTCTTGGCCCTATCAAAATTGTGCATTGTGTTTAAGGTGACTAATGGCATTGATTCTTTTTTTCTTCATTGTGTTCAACTTTACCGTGCATTGTGTAATTTCAGTTTCAATGTGTTAAAGCTCTTGTGGTATTGTTACCTTCATTCAAGAATGTTGATTTTCTTTTTCCATAATGTTCTTGACTTAATTGGTTGCTGCTTCAATGCACCTAAGAAAATCTGTTTTTGTTAGTTTTCTCTTGGAGATGCACGGGCGTACTTTCGTCTACCGCAAAGAATGAACTCGGTGTTGTTTCTGCAGAAAGCATTGCCTGGTGAGATTCTTTTCATATTTTGAGAATGGAACCCTCATAAGTGGTTGTGGTTGTAGTTTGTTGCTAATTCTCTATAGTTTATGTTAGTGACTTGTGTGACTGCTTGCTTGTTTAGTTTGTTGTATGTTACTCAAGTCCTGTTTATTGTGTGGCATTTGTGTTTGACGTAAGTTCCTCTAAGTCTCGATACTTTCACATTATACAACTTCGGATCATTGACTACTCTCCGTGGAATATTATCTATTATATCTTAGGATAGGTCAAGGATTGCTGAAATCCTATGATGCATGGATACGATACGACTATCAAATATGAAATACGATTAGTATCCGATACGACTATCAAATATGAAATACGATTAGTATCCGATACGATGATACATTAATTATAAGAAAAGTAGAATAGGATATGTATAATATACGTATTTAAAGATATAAAAGAAATTCATGAAACATAATAACTATAAAGATATAATCATGCAAATCTAAATTCATGAATAACTATAATTCAGGAATCATGATGTGGGTAGATTTGATTTTATTATGGAAGACTTGTGATGATTTTAATTGGAATCTAAATTAACTATGAATAAAAGGAAATCACTAGAGATGATATTAAAAAAATTTAGATTCTACTTCAACTATAGTCTGGTGAATACAACTTTGATGTTTTTAGTTTTTAATTCATTTACTCATCAATTATGTCATCATGCTTTACATGCTCATTGCTGGATAATCTTATTTATGGCAAGCACTCGGAGTAGAATCAAATAATTACATTGTAAGTTGTACACATGCATGGGCTGAGCATCTATCAAGTAGGGATTTAAAACAATGCTTGGCAAATTGAAATGGATTGCTTCATATAAGCGTATGACCTTATGTGGCTGTACATCGAGGAATATTGTTTTACATCTCAATTTTTCTTTTCCTAGAAAATACCTGATTGGCTGAAATGTAACTCAATTCTATCAAAACTGCACTGTGTTTTCTGCAATTTATGGCAGGGTATTCAACGTTGCTCAATCCATTATATTCCCTACATTATGCTACCTTCACATTTATTGCTCCCAATATTATTATGAAAGAGATCACACCAATCACACCAGCTTGAATTCAAGATATGTGGCTCTATTGAGTGTGAAATGAAAACACCTGGTTTTAGATACTTGTATTTTTGTTTCTTGTGTTCAATTGTTATTGTCAATGCTCTTAGCGAAGTAATGTAAAAGGAAAAATTGTAATTAGATCCCAACATCCCCACCACGCTCCACACCCCCATGGCTCACATGGGCTTGTTGTGCTCTAAACACTACAATGCCTGCATCACCACCCCACTCCTCGGTTACAGTTGAGAAACATTGTGGAAGGCTTTGATACTAATTGATAAGCATCTTAGGGAAGCCACACTACAAAAGCTGGCTGCTATTATAGTTGAAGAGCCCAAAACCTTATGATCCCCACATTTTCCATACCTTGCAATCAGATCTTAACACATTATGTTTTTTTGTTAAATGGTTCATGATCTGATACCATGTTATGAATCATCTAATGACATATTAACTGGTTCATGAGCTTTTTAAAATGCAGAGATTGTTGATATTGAAGCTTCACAAAAGATAGAAGGATAAAGGGAAGGAAGTGGCTGCTCATCCAATTTCAAGATCTTTGTTAGTAGGTAAGTAATTACCTTTGACTTTTCTATATTGAATTTTAAATAATGATTGATTGGTCGGCTATGCATGCCATGTATTCGAGTGAGGAATTGGGGGGTAGTAAATGTAACATGTAACATGACTAGTGGAAGAATTGATTTGTTTGATTATTTTTTTCAATTTGTTTGCATTGATTCAGGATGAAGATGAGATTAGTTATTTAGTTATTCTAACCTTGTTGGCTACATGGAATGGCCTTCAAGTTATTATACTGGTCATTACCAAACACTTGTCAAAATCTATTCTAAGTTGGTATTTTAATTAGTGTAACATTGAAGTTCATATTTTGTAGAACATGGATCAATTTCATGAAAATCGCCACTGGATGTATGATCGAAGTCATAGTAAAAGAGGTGGTTTAAAACAAAGTTTTATTGATGGTGTTGAAGAGTTTGTCATGAATGCTTCTCAACAAGTTTGTTATAAAAATGAAGTCCAAACGAGATGTCCATGCAATAAATGTCAATGTACAAAGATCTTGCCAATGGAAATGGTTACACTTCACCTTTATAAAAATGGTTTCATGCCTGATTATTATGTTTGGGTTGATCACGGTGAGCAAATGCCTCATGCTAACAAATATTGGACACATGCTTCAAGTAGTAGTTACATTTTTCAGAAGATGAGTCATTGATGGCAATGCAGGACATGGTGTATGACGCACTTAGGCAACATGAAACATTTCAACCATCAGAGCCAAATATCATGGAAGAGCCTCCAAATGAAGAAGCTCAAAGATTTTATGATTTGTTGTTGGAAGCGAATAAACCTTTGTTTGAAGGTGCTTTAGACTCTAAATTGTCCATATGTGTAAGATTGTTAGCTTGCAAATCTAATTGGCATGTTCCTGATCACGCTTTAAATTTCATTATAAAAATGCTTTTGGATGTAACACCCAACAAAGATAGTTTACCAAAAAGCTATTATGATGCGAACAGGTTAGTTTCAAAGTTGGGATTGGATGCTAAAAGGATCGATTGTTGTGTTAATGGTTGTATGCTTTTTTATGATAATGGTTACGGGAAGAATGATGGAGCTTTACTACAATGTAAATTTTGTCATAAGCCTAGGTATCATGCCCCAAAACTTGAAACTCGTAAAAATAAACCAATTCTGATTAAGAGCATGCTCTATTTACCTATAATTCCAAGGTTACAGAGGTTGTATGCATCCATGCAAACGGCTGGACAAATGACATGGCACTATGACAATAAAAGACCAGAAGGTGTGTTGTGTCATCCATCTGATGGTAAAGCTTGGAAACATTTTGATCAAGTTTATCCAGATTTTTCTCGCTGAACCATGTAATGTAAGACTAGGTCTATGTTCGATGGATTTAATCCATATATTCAAGCATCTGCCACCCCATATTCTTGTTGGCCAGTAATTATGACCCCATATAATCTTCCTCCTGAAATATGTATGTCCGGACCTTATATGTTTTTGACATGCCTCATTCCCGGTCCACGTAATCCAAAGTCATGTATTGATGTGTATTTACAACCTTTGATAGATGATCTGAAGCAATTGTGGAGAGGAATTGAAACATACGATATTTCAAGAAAACAAAATTTTGTAATGAGGGCTAGTTTGATGTGGACTATTAATGATTTTCCCGAATATGGTATGTTGTCGAGTTGGGGGACTCAAGGTAAACTACCCCGCCCGCATTGCATGGGGGATACAAAGGCCTTTACATTGCAGAATGGGAGGAAAAATAGTTGGTTTGATTCACACCGTAGGTTCTTGCACAAAAATCATGTATTTAGAAGGAATAAAAAAGCTTTCGAAAGGGGAAAAGCTGAAGCTGGTGACCCACCATGTACATTGACATCCGAGCAAGTTTGGAGTATAATTATGGATGTACCCAAAGTCATAGATTACCCTCATATGAACAAGTTACCAGGCTATGGGGAATGGCATAATTGGACAAAAAGAAGTATATTTTGGGATTTGCCCTATTGGAAGGATAATTTATTGAGGCACAATCTTGATGTTATGCACATAGAGAAAAATTTCTTTGACAATATATTCAACACTGTCATGAATGTCAAAGGTAAGACAAAAGATAATGATAAGGCAAGGAAGGACCTAACTTTGTATTGTTGTAGACCAGATTTAGAGTTGAAGTTGCGAGGCTAATGGGAAGATGGTAAAGCCAAAAGCAAATTATACTTTAAGCTGCAGAGGAAGCAAAGTTAGTTTATCATTGGATCAAGGAACTTAGAATGCCCGATGGTTATTCATCCAACTTAGCAAGATGTGTCGATGTAGACAAGGGAAGGATGCATGGGATGAAGAGCCACGATTGTCATATTTTTATGGAGTGTTTACTCCCTATTGCATTTAGTTCATTACCGAGTGCATGCTTGGAACCCTCTTACTTGAACCGAGCCATTTTTTTAAAGATTTGTGTTCTAGAACATTGAGGCATCATGACTTGGCTAAAATGGAAGAAAATATTCCAATAATTCTTTGTAAGTTGGAGAGAATATTTCCCCTCGCATTCTTTGATTCAATGGAGCACTTACCTATTCATCTTGTGTATGAAGCCAAACTTGGTGGACCGAGTTCAATATAGATGGATGTATCCATTTGAAAGGTAAGAAGACTATCATTGATTATGCACAAAATTTGATTTACTAAATATTGAGCTAATACCATCCTCATTTCATTGATTTTATAGATTCATGGGTGATTCTAAACGATCAGTAAAAAATAAAGCTCGTGTTGAAGGATCAATTTGTGCCTCATACTTGCATCGAGAGACAACTCACTTTTGTTCCCATTATTTCAAGAACTTCATTCTATCACCACAGAATAAGAGAAATGAAATACAAGTTGAAATTGAAAGGGATCCATCAAGGTTATCTGTCTTTAACGTGCTTGGTCGTCATTTAGGAAACACATCAATTCATTGGTTAACCAGAAAAGAGTGGAACTCGGCTCATGTTCATGTCTTGATCAACTGTACTGAAATTAAGTCATACCTTGAGTGAGCATTTCAAACACTATATTTCATAATTATATCATTTTCTTATTTGATTAAATTGTTCTCCATCCTTCTCCTATCTTTTGATAGTTCCTTCTTGCAATATGGTCAACCCAATGACTCAAATGTGTCAAATCACATACATAGACATTTTCCTCAATGGTTTAAGTACCAAGTATGTATGGTTACATTAAGAACTTAGTTTATTACAATATGCTTAAGAACATATGATTGTACCTTCTTTGCATTTGTAGGTTCATAGTGAGCCTTTAAGTGTAAGAAACATGCACTTAAGGGAGTTGTCGATTGGTCCTTTCACATGTGTCAATAAATGGCACACATACTTTGTCAATGGATACAAATTTCACACTCATGCTTGGACTCAGGGGAAAAAAACCATTAATAGTGGTGTACATGTAAAAGGCCTTACAGAAGGGGGTGAAGATGATTTTTATGGCATCATTCAACACATATATGAGTTGCAATATAATACTTCAACCTCCCCAAAGAAAGTGGTGGTATTTTATTGTGAATGGTTTGATCCATCACGTAGAGGTACATTAGTGGATCCTAAATATGGAACTGTAGACATTCGCATAGATAGAAGATATTTACCATTTGATCCTTTTATCTTGGCACATAATGTTAGACAAGTATATTATATCCCATATCCGAGATCAAGAAAGGACAAAGAAGGGTGGTATGTTGCTATAAAAACAAAGCCTAGAGGTCGCATAGAATCTCAAGACATGGAAGATGATGTTCCTTACCAAATGGATGAAATGTCCCATGTAAATGAAGCTATTGAAGTTGAAGGTGTTTTTGGATTGCAACATTCACAAATTGATGTTGAAGTAGTCCAGGAAGAGGAAGAGGAAGAGGAAGAGGAAGAGGAAGAGGAAGAAGAAGAAGAAGAAGAAGAAGAAGAAGAAGAAGAAGAAGAAGAAGAAGAAGAGGAAGAGGACGAGGACGAGGAAGAGGACGAGGAAGAGGAAGAGGGAGAGGGAGAAGATGAAGATGAATAGGATTCGTGAAGTTAAGAAATTGTTCTTTATGAGTTAATTTTTATATTGCATATTATGTATGACGTTATTCCTTCGCATAATTGACTATATAAATTTCTTATGTACAGATATGTCATCAGGAGGATGTGACTCACCCCAACCTCCCATGTCTCATCCCAAAAAGGGGAAAAAAGTAACGAAACGGAAAAAACCACGCTATATACTTAAAATAATGTCCCTCCCCCACCTATAGCTCCTACACCTATACCTTCTTCATCTGTAGGTGCTGAGAATATACATGCCCATACAAACAATATTGCACCTACAACCACTTCTGCCCCATCCCCAGTTGATGCACCCAACCCTAGTCCATCACCTGTCATTGCATCAGCACCTTCCCCAGGAGCTACATTGCCTTCAGTATTATCAGTGCCTTCTAGAGTCCATCATACACTAGCTAGGGAAGACCAAGAAGTGCATATTCAGGAAGGTGACGCACAATCAAACATTGAGGAGGATCATCCACTTGGCACTAATCTTCCTATCATATCACCTTATGGTCTAGGGTAAGAATTAAGTTAAAATTATATTATTCCCATTATTTGCAAGTATTAGGAAATTGTGATTATTATTTAATTTAATTATTGGGCGAAGGTTCCATCCATGTCGGGTTGCATCACAAGCTATAACAATGACTATTAAGCAACAATATTCTAAGCCATGGCTGACATGGGGTTCAATGACCGATGTTGAAAAAGAGACATTCTTTCAGCGGTTTAAAGTAAGTTTTCTTATATTTAGGTTGATGAATTTTTTTTATTACTTACATTCATTGACACAATTATTATTATTTGTTTGTTTGTGTAAATCATTTGCAAAGAGAAAGGTCACCTGGAGATCTGAAGATGAGGACAGGATTTGAAAGAATTTTCACTCAAAGGCCTCACATAAGCTATCTGAAATGTTCAAAGAGGCTAAAAGGACAGAAAAGAAGCCCTATTGGATATTTGATGATGTGTGGAAGACTCTGTTGAACAAGTGGAACTCAACTCATTATCGTGCAAAGTGTGCACAAGCTCAAAAGAATCGAGCTTCTGAGATGGGTGGTAGTTTACACACAGGTGGTTCTATTAGTATGTATGATCACGCCATTCGTATGGTAAATATGCAATTATAACAAAAGTTTCTTTCTTTCTTTCATTTCTTATGATATGTTATTAATTATTTTTTTTGCAGGAAAAGGAGTTGGGTCGTCCTGCACATATTGATGAGGTTTTCAAACAGACTCATATACGAAAGGTTAATGGTGAATTTGTTGATGAAAGGTCTAGAAAAACTCATGTAAGTTGAGAACTTATTTAATATTACTCTCTTATATGTTATGATAGATACGTGTTATATAACGTACATAATTTTTATTTGTATGTTAATAGGAAGAATTTCAGAGAAGATACTCTCAGGCTAGATCTGATGCAACATCCTGTGTTGCTGAAACTGAGTCATCTCCATTAGATCCTATAGAGGAGGAGAGAATAAGGACTGAAAGTTGGATTCTTGCTGTAGGTGGCAACAAAAAAGGTCGGATCTATGGTGTTGGAGAACTTGCCCATAATTTTAGGCCTGGAGATACCCTCTCATATTCAGGATCTACTGATTCTCGTGACATTACGCAATTAAAGGAACAAGTGCTTAGTTATAGGGAGGATAATGAAAGATTGAGCCGCCAATTACAAACACTTGTCAGTGTTGTCCTTCCTTTACTTCCACCCGATGCCCGACAAGTATTTCAACAACAACCTTCCGAACAAGGATCACAACAACAATCACAGGAGCAGCAAGAGCAACAACAACAATAATCACAACATCAACCAGCTTTCGCAGAGCAGCCTCAAAATGAACAAGGACATTACTCAAATTATTAAGACACTCAAACAATATTGTCATAATATTTATTATAATACTTCTTTGGATTTATATGTTCTTAAATATTTTGAATGACTATTTGATGCATGCTAATATTAGGATTTGTGTTTGATATTTAAATATGCACTTGGTGCATATCAATATTATGAAATATTGTTAAATTTGATATCTAAATACTTTGTGTGTAATATGTATGTAATTAACAGATAAAATTTAGTTAAATCATTGGTGGTGATAAAATTTTATAAGAATGTGGTAATTACCTACGAATTTTATCAATAGGTAATTATCTACGGATTCTGTTCGTAGGTAATTACCTACGGAATACAATCCGTAGGTAATTACCTACGGATTACAATCCGTAGGTAATTACCCACGGATGACATTACCTACGGACAATAATTCCGTAGGTAATTACCTACGACCATATTACATACGGATTTTTTACGGAAAAAAATCCGTAGATAAAATGACATTATCTACGGATTTTTACAATTACCTACGGATTTTTGCCGTAGATAATCAGCTTTTTTTTGTAGTGAATATGAAGGTGACCTACATGATGAGGAAATATGGATACCGGCTAAACCAAAGGCTCTTTAGAAATTCTCAAGGAATAAGGGAACCATTAGATTTTAAAGACAATCCTTTGAAGCATGACCCTACACAGGATCAAGCTGCACCGAGAAAAGGGAAGTCTCCCCTCCGCACCTCGAATCAGATTTTCCCAAACGAAGGGGTCCAAGCGTCGAGAACGACTTTAGTCATTAGGTGTTCTTCTTCCAATTTTAAGGGATGTAAACCCAATGACTATTAGAGATTACTCCTCGGGGCTGGCCCGACCCCAGAGAATTGTAGGTCACATATTTCCCTTTTAATTAATAAAGAATGTCATTCTTACTATTTGCTTCTCTTCTTACTATTCATGTCTAAACCTCATAATAACAATGTTTAAGCAAACATTTTCAAAAGTGCGTCAAAATAATCAAAATGCACCATTGTCAAAATAATCAAACCACTCATCATCATTGATTGACTAGAAGTACAAAATAAGGTTTTACCTCATCATAATAAAGTCGTGTTTTGCCAATGTTGTGCAAAGAGAAGCAAAAATCAAAAGAAGCCTATAGAAGCTAAAGGCCAAAAAGAAAAGGCAAGATACTTGATAGGAAACCCATTAAGGGGGCTACGCAAAAGTTAGGGTAAACCCACTAGGAGACCCAGACAACAATAAAGGGTAGCCTAGGCAAAAATTAGGGTTACAAAATAAAGTCTGCTAGGATTCCCAAAACAAGAAAAGAGGAAACCTAGACAAAAGTTAGCACATATCACAACATCCTAGGCTGAAATCCCAAAGGGCAAACTAGGGAAGTTAATCAGTCATGATAGGCGCCATCTAATAATCATTTAAGACGCCACCTCATAAACAAAACGTTTGTCTAAACTAGCTTAAACAATCCAACCAACCTTGGCTAGTCGTGCTTACAAAAACCATTTTTTGTCAAAATAAAACAATTCTAAAACACAAGCCTTTGAATTAAATAACTTTCATTCTTTTCTCTTGACCCTTACCACTACGGCATTCTAGTAATTAGTAGGGAAATGTTGAGATAGTAATCAATAGGAGGATTGACATCGCCAAGAAAAGGGAGGGGCGTACTAACATGGCAAGTCGCTCTATAATCAACACAATCATTCTTCGGTCATAGCAAAATCAAGACGGAAAAATCGCTACAGCCTATCATGTCGACGAAAACACATAATGACAGAAGCACGTTAGAAGCAAAAGTACATTTGATTAATCCTTTTGAAATATTAATTGAAATAGCATTGTAGGATGCATATCACAAACATTGCATGCATATGATAGGGTCCTATCTCTCAAAAAAGAAGAGAAAGAAAAAATGAAAATAAAAAGAATAATGCCTGCTAGGAGATTCTTAGGCAAAAGTTAAGGTAGCCCGCTAGATCGAAAACCCACAAAGGGCGGTCTAGGAAAAAGTTAGGGCATTCATAAAAAGGAAAAAAAGCCCGCTAAGATATCCTAGGCAAAAATTAAGGCAGTCCGCTAGATCAAAAACCCCAAAAGGGCGGTCTAGGCAAAATTTAGGGCTAAACCTAAAGAGAGGGTCCCATCAGCATAATCATAAAGCACAACAGGAGAACACTGGTCACTTTTCTAGATGCATCTCATAAAAGAATATATTGCATTTAGGGCATCCACGCACAAGAAGTCACACAAAACGACTTTGTCAAGATCAAAAATGAAAAAAAATAAAAATTACTTCAGATAAATAACAAAAAATGAAAAGCATTCATGCATATAAGGAGACTAGCTCCATGTTTGTGATTGAAAACAGGAAACACCCAAGCTAAATCTTCGCATAAAGCTCCCCCTCAAGAAAACGGATCAAGTCGTCAATCAAGTTACTCAGCAAAATAAGAGCTTCCAAAAATCAAGAGCTCCAGCTACCATCCTTCTACCCCAGAAAAAGAAGGCACAAATAAGAAGTCTCCAAACATTGCTCTCCCTCAAGAAAGAAGAGCAAGTTGTCATCATCAAATAGATTAGAAGAAATAAGAAGCTTCCAAAAGTCAAAGCTCCAGTCATCATTCTTCTACCCAATAAAAGAGGGCACAATCATCAGATATCATAAAAGAACAGCCAATGGAAAGGCTTAGTTATCCCCAAGCGGATCCTTCCCTACTCCAAAGGCAAAACAAATATTACCCCATGGCTCAGCATCACCATCACATGAGTCACCAAACACACTCACACAAGATCTCCATACCATCAAGGGCTCAACAAAAAGAGAAAAAAAGAAGAAAACCCTTGCATCCCCAGTAGATATCCAAAAGAAAGGGCCGCAATAGAGAAGACCGAATAAAAATCCCCAAGTGGATCTCCCCAGAAAATTCTACAAAAAGGAATTCCCATCCCTCAGTGGAATAAGAGATTTACAAGTTTAGCTCGCATTAACATCAATCAAGGAGCCAAGACTCCATCCCTATAAAAGAAAAATCAGATCCCCAGGAAGTCGGCAATCCCCTGGTGGATCACCAAAGGAAACTTTATCCCCTACGGATCCCCAAAAAGAACAAAAGTCTGCGTGCATAAAAGAAAGTAAAAAGTAAAAAGGCACACGCATTATCCCCATAAAAAATTCAGATTTCAATATCGCGATAAAAAAGAGATAAATAGCGAAAAAAGGCAAAATTAAAATCCTAACTTTTAGGTAAACAGAATGCCCATTCCCCAATGAAATAAGAGCATCATATAACCAGCTCACACCAATACCTAACAAGGAGTCAAAACTCCAGGGGGCAAACCAAAATCAGATCCCTGGGAAGGCAATCAATCCCTAGTGGATGATCAAAAAGAGAAAAATCATCCTTAGTGAGCCTACGATAAAGGCAAATTTCAGACTCACATCCCCATAAGCGTCATTCGCCTATGCGTAGGCAAGATCTGGAAAATAAAGAGCCAACATCCCCAAAATAGGATATCAGCCTATTCAGAGGCAAAACAACACAAGCACGAAACCTTCACCTCTAGTTGAAACATCTACCTACTCAGAGGCACCATCAACAAATCCTCAAATGGATATCCACCTACTCAAGAGGC